CTAAACCCCAAACCCTAAACCTCTACGTAAAGCATGAAGCCGAGCCAGGGGCTGCTTTGAGAGTTCAATGTTGTTGTTATTGTGGTTACGATGATGGTCACCCTAAACCCGAAACCCTAAACCCCTAAACCCTAAACCCCTAAGCCCCTAAACCCCTAAATTTTGTAAAGCCTAAGCCCGACACCCTAAGCAGGAAAGCATCTGTGAGAGGAAGTATTCAATGCATGCTGCATGTTACCTGAAACCTCTCCTGAAGCCCTAGCTTATGCACGAAATTCATACGTTGTGTGCTGAGTCATGTGATTGCATGCCCTGCGATTGTTGTGAGATGCATTTCTACATGCTCGAGCCTTTGACCCCACTGTTTCGCGCGGCTTCTACACAGCGATAACTAGGTCGTGGGTTTTTGCGTGTAGGACGTCTGCTGCTGTGGAAGTCTGCTGTCAGATGGGCCAATGATATCGGTGGCATATTTGTTTCTGTGTAATCCAGAGCCCTACCTGACAATATGGTACTTGGTGACATGTGCCAGAGTATCTAGTTAACGATCGTTGGACCAGTATCGCTACAGACCTTGCCAGGCTTGTCCGACTGTGAGTGTCAAAAAACCCGAAATCCTAAACCCTAAACCCTATACCCTATAAACCCTAAGCGCTAACCAGGGCTGATGTGAGAAACCCGAAGCCTCGGAAGCTAAAGATTCCTTTGCAAGTTGCGGGTCGCCGTGGAGTTGGTCTGCTGTGAGGGTTTAGGGGTTTAAGGGCTTAAAAATTTGAAGGGTTTGGGGTTTAAAGGCTTTAGGGTTTAAGGGTCTAGGGTCCATTTTGATCTCTATCGGCTCAAACCGTGGTTGGGCAGTGGGTGCGATATTCATCGTTGCCCGATGCCCCATCCGACGCTACTGTGAAGCACGCCCCGTGTCTGCAACACAGGACGGCACAGAGATAGCGAGCATTTACGAGTCGGACGCAGGGTACAAATCAACACATCAGGAGTTTGTTTGAACCCACGTGCCGATGACCACCCAGCCCCAAAGAGCACGAACTCCAGTCACATCTGCGCATTGCATGCAGTGGACGGGCTTCTTGCAAGCAGGGTACCTACAGAGAAAGAGGGAGCCTATGCCAGCGATTCCTGTAATCGCCAATTTCGGCGTGTTGCGAAAACCTCCAAGCCCCAAACCCCGCACAGCCGAGGCTGATCAGGGGGAAGGCACCATGCCGTCCCTGCGTCAGATTACCCTCCATGGCACGCCCCTGGCAAAGGGCTCAGAGGGTGCCCCCTAAACCTTGGGGTTTAGGGTTCAGGGTTTAGGGTTCAGGGTTTAGGGTTTAGAATCCCTATAAACCCTAAACCCAATCGTAAGCCCTAAAGCCCATAAACCCTAAACATCCTAAAACCCTAAAGCCCAGAAGCCCTAAGCCAATCATCAACCCTAAAGCCCCTAAGCCCTAAACCCTAAAGCCCATAATCAAAAAAAGAAAAGCCCAAAATCCCCTAAAGCTTCGGGTTCAGTCTTTATAGGGCTTTGGATTTAGGGTTAGGGGGAGAGCTTAGGGGAGCAGGGTTAGGGCTCGCAGGGTTCAGGCTTTGGGGTTAGGGGGTTGAAGGGGGTTTAGGGTTGAGGGCTTTAGGGTTGAGGAGTTTAGGGTTTTAGGGTTTGCGGTGTAGCGAAAAAGTAGGGAGTTTAGTGTTTCGTACTGCGGGTAGGAATATGCCTCTGTCTACATTGCAGGGTGTGTTTATGTGCCAATGTCCATCTGTCAATCAGCGCTCCTTGATTTTTGTCACCAGGCCTTGCTTTCTGCAGCATTCGTACTGTGGTAGTTGTGATGGTGTGACCCTAAACCCTAAACCCTAAACCCTAAACCCCTAAACCCCTAAACCCCTAAACCCTAAACCCCATTCCCTCATAGAGTAGCCGGGCGCTTCTTGTTGCGACCTGGAGGCCCTATACGGATCCTTGAGTCCTATACTATGCGTATATCATATATGCTTTCTACACAAATAGTTTCTTTACTACATCCTATACATCACTCTACCATACCAGTCTTTACAGAATGCAGGTATTATGGACTGCCAAGCGGGAGCCAAAACATACCAGTCTTTACTCCATACGAGGCTGTTTCATACTAGGCGTGCTAGGCTAAGGTTAACAAACACTCCTCTCGGGCCCCATAGTGACTACAGTGAAGCATCCCCGTAGCAGTGAGGGTTGGGCATATGGAATCGGGTCTTTGCGGTGGAGAGTCTAGGTGGTATGACAAGTTAGGATGTGCTTCAATTTCAAGATGCGTGTTTGGACCCTGGCTGGACACTCATCGTCTTAGTTCTAAGTAAAAATCCGCGAAATCTCGAAGCCTTAGCCCTAGAAGCCAGTTATCTTCTCCCGTGTGCACCGAAATCCCGCGCCCTAACACTTTAATCCGTAAGCCCCACTCCCCTGCTTGCTTGTCGCTTTAAAGGATGCCTGTCAGCTGCAACGAACTCCGTCGAGTGCTACAAACCACGTAGTTGTTTTTTCGCGTGCGCGGGAAGATCGAACAAAGAGGAAAGAAGCAGAACCGACTCATGAGGATGTTGCACAACTCTTGGCAGTGTGTTCAATCTTCAAAGATGAGATTGTCATGAATTTCGCTCTAAATACCCTTAATTTACTTAGCCTTCAACCCCCTCAACCCCAACCCGAAATCCTGTCCCTGCTCACGCATTCTCTCAGGCGGCTCTGTCGACCAAGTTCGTTCCGGGGTTCTTTAGCCAGCATCGGCCCCAGCATTGGCTGAGTGAAACGAGTCCAACCCTGCACAGTTACGGACCTCAAACCAGTATACTATACTACTTAATTTTCAGTTATTATGTTGTAAATTTCCATACTACACTACACTACATTTAAGTACATCACGCTGTATCGACCTTTCTGTTGATACATTCTGCATCATGCTACACTGACTACATTGCAGCCTTCAGTCCCTTTAGCCAGGGTTTTTGTCCCGAATTGGTTCTACGCACTGAAGCCTAGAGCCCCAAGCCCAAAGCCGAAGCTCGAGCACCAGGTTTAGGGTTTAGGAGATCGTGTTTAGGGTTTAGGATTTCGGGTTTAGGGTTTAGGATTTCGGGTTTAGGGTTTCGGGTTGAGGATTTCGGGTATAGGGTTTCGGGTTTAGGGTTTGGGGTCAGAACAATAGCAATTCGTAGTTGCAGTCTTTTTGTCCTTATACAGTTGCGCCTTCATACATCCCTAAGCCGTAGTCTAACTTTGACGACCCCTATACTCAAGCCCATACGTCGGCCTGGCGGAACTTGATGGCTCCATGACATGTAACGGCCAGGCATGTGGCAGTAACTATGGGTTCTGAGTTTTTAGTAGCAGCATCCTTTCCTGGATCCCCAACTAATGCTAATTGCACACCCCGAAGCTCGGTTCGAAGTACTAAGGCTTTAGAAGTCTGTTTGTATCAGGTCGCGCTTTCTCCAACGCAGGTTGGTAGTCGTTTTCAGGCCAAATGGACCTGTCCAGGACACCCTAAACCCTAAACCACACTTCAATGTTCTAAGAC